GCCCTGCTCAGGGGGCCCTCGGGACCTCCTTCCCTGCCTGATGTTGTGACTGCCCGGAGGAGGATGTCCTGGTGTCTCCCAGGAGGATGTCCTGCCGGTGTCTGTGTGAACCTGTGGGTGTGCGTGGCATGCCACACGTGGGCACACGCCTCACTGCTGGTCCTGCCACCTGCACGGCGTCCAGTCCGGCCTGTCCCATTCCATCTGTGCCATGGGGTGGTGGCTGCCGCCTGGGGTTGTGGGGTGCAGCGTGGTGGGAGACGGTGCTCATCATAGTCCTCCGTAAAGTCAGTCCCCGGGCAGGGTGGAGCTCCGTGGTGGAGTGCCCACCTCCAGTGCAAGGCTGGGGCTCCGTCCCTGCTCCTACAGATGCCGGTCAGTGGTGGTCGCTGTTAATAGCACCCGCTGCCCCAACACCTGCCGTCCTTCTGAAGCTCGGCAGCACGTGGGCTGGATATTGGTAGCAGGAGGGCGGTCTTAGGAGGATCCGCTGAAAACCTGGTGAGACGTTAGGATGGATGCTGCTACAGTAGCAGTTACCTACCCGCAAGTCACTAAAGTAGGCACAGTCACGATATCCGCTGGCCTCAAAGACAGCACTTGTCCCCAGAGCAATGAGGCTGGAGTCTGTGTGAGCCGCCCCTGGCGCCCTGCCTCTGGTCCAGCCCATGAAGCCTGACGTGGCGTTAGGTGGACAAGCTTCTCTGTCCCACCCAAGACAAGAAGTGGGGACCTCTCCCTCCCCCGTCACTCAGAGGCCACCCTAATACCAGGTCGTCTGTGCCCATGGCCTGGCGCCATGTCATTGCAGTGCCGTTGTCCCTCCAAGGAGGACTTGTCCAGGCCCCAGGACAGCAAAGTCTGGCCGAGCTCACACTCCTGGAAGGGGGCGTGGTGTTTGAAGGGAGGAGTGACAGAGTGGAAGGAGACCCTAACAGACACGTGGGTTTCATGAAGGAAGGTGGCACTTACTGAAACACAAGTGGATGCCTGGGAAACCTCGAGAACCAAGATGGCAGAAGGGCCCAGGACCGCCTGGGAGTGACCCTCGGGAGGAGAGGAGGGACAAGTGTCAGAGCCGGTGAGCTGATGGCCGCTCCTGGCCCTGC